TTTGCTAGAGTTATCGTGTACACGGACGGACGGACAGACGGACAGACAGACATGGCTTAATCGATTTCTTTTTTCATNTGTGTACACATTTGTCTATATCTATCTCGATTCGTTTTGGCTGTTACAAACAACCGTTATGTGAACAAAATTAATATACCCTTGTGCACAAGTGCGCTCGGGTGTAAAAATTCGAAAAAAATACTCCAAATGTATTTTGATATACATACATATTCCCTGCATCACCTTCGGTCCTTCTTTTGAAGAAATTTTTATTGCATAGACACAACTTTCCTAAAGTCAAACAAATAAAAAAATGTAATTTATTTGTGATTTGATTCGTCGACGAAATAAAGAATAAAATGTATAAAAAAAAAAATTATTTTTAAAAATTAATTTTATTTATAAAAAATATTTTTTTTTTAGGTTTTGAGGTGAAGTTTTATATTTCCTTTGGAAAAGCGGTACCGATATTTTTTTTGTATGTTGTTTTCTATTTTCGGAAGTATATTCGTTCTGCTTGATAGGGGTCAATGCGTGTATACTTAAACACATACAGCGCACGCAGGTGTACATATATACATACATACATACGTATGTACATATGCATATTATTTACTCGCCATCATTCGGTATTATTTGTATATTCAAAGCAATAAAAAACCCGACCGCCTCATTGAATGATAATAAGTAAATAAACAGGTGAGTAAATTAGTTGATTAAATATTTTATTATGGTTTCTTATAAGGAAATAGGCGTGAATGTGCATTTATCATGCAAGCAAATCAATCTGAGATATAAAGGTATGTATGTATGTACATATTTACATATTTAAGTAAGTACTTGTGCATTGATAAGCATTTTCGTTTGATTGGTTTTTTTTTGTAAATTGTGTTGTTGTTTGCATGGCAGTTGAAAACTTTGTACTTACAAAATCTCTAAATGGAAATGTGTAAATATATACTATATATGTACGACTACCATTCCTCATAAGAGAGAGCATACTTAAACAAACCGCTACATGCAAGCAGTGGGATTGCATTGCCCGCTCATTACGGATATCCATCTCAGAAATAGGCGAATTTCGATCGGGCGCAACGTGCATTATAAGGCATCGAGGTACATACATACACAGTATCGGTCATATCAAAAGTTTTGAGTATACCGTTTAGCAGCCCAATCAATCTTATTACAATAATTTGCATGTTCCAAGTGGCTTAAAATTATCCTTGAGTTTTTTGATTTTTTTTTGCCGAAGGTGTTGCGGTTTTCTTCCATAAATTCCGCCAACAAAACTCTAACTCCAAAACTTCAAAAAATCAGTATTTTTACACAGAAAATTGCATGGGCTATAAAAATGTAGTAAAAAATTCTAGCGCTTCCGAGAAAAAAATTAAAATTTTGATGAAAATGTTGATTTTTTTTTTAAATTTTCTGAAATTTTGAGACTTTTTTAGTATTTAAAATTGGGTTTATATGGATTTTGTTAGAGAATGAACTGTATTCTAATTGAAAATTCTTTATAATAAATAAATAAACATAAGTGGCAAACAATATCGCTTTGAAGTGGGGTGCTATAGATATTACCGATACTGTATATTTCGAATATATTACAGTACATATCTTATTTATTATCATTGTTTTGTTAAGTTTTAAAGACGTTCCCAAAAATGGCTGTCTAGTTCCTCGTTTAGTATGTTTCGTGAAAAATTCCAAAATTAGTCAGTTCGTGTTCTGACCGCTCACAACTGAATTGACGACGACCTAATCCAATTCACCACCGTGCAAAATCAATTTAACAATAAAGTTAAAATATTTCTTTCTACCGCAACTAAATTCCCCATCTGCTTGATTTTCACCCGTATATGCATATGTTTATCATTGACTACTTATTCAATTTTCAATAGCAATGGCAGATTTTTGCGCAAATGAAAAAATCTCAATTTTATAATAAAATTCCATTAGTGTCCGCATAAGTATGCACATACATATATATCAAAATAACTTTATGCAAATTTGATTTGAAAAATTTCCATGACCTTAAACTCAGAAATTGAGAACAAATGCTGAACCACCAACGCCATCAGCATCAACAGCAACAACAACAACAACACAAAACGACAAGAATGATTTCCACTAGTAAATGCAAATAACGAATGCCAATGGGAGTAATAAAAATCCATGCTTTAATACATTTTTTATTAGAGTAAAAACTCAGCAGAATCGCCACCCGAAATAATATGCTGTCAACACGAATCAAACGCTTCGCTGATTTTTGGGGTCACTCAGCAGAGAGCAGAGCATGGTCAGACGTTCGCCTTTGGCAGTGAATGAATTCTGTTTTTTTTTGTTTTTTTTTTTCCAGAGGCGAAGGAGATGCGCGATTGTAAGGATGCGAGTGCGCAGTGGTTTGTCGGATGATTGAAAATATGGGTGATTGAATGAAATATGACGCAGCGTACGCAAGTTGAACTGACGGATAATGAAAACAGAGATTTGAAATGCAAATAGATAGTAAATTAAACAATATGAACACGTGTACATATTTGGCGATTTAATTTGAAAATATTAATATTATTAAAGCTATATTATTATTATTAATATTGTGATTTTAGTAATAGTACCTAATATATCATCAGAAGTATTAATTGTTATGTTGCGTGGTGATACCAATTTATTATTCTGTTTATTTATACACATACGATAATAGTTTGATAAGTAATAAACGATTTTTTTCTTTCTATATATAACGCTCTATTCCTACACCAATGATAAGTCCTTTTTTTCGTTCCGAAGATCATTGAACTCAAGGACCCCTTTCCAATACTTACCTAGCAGATCTCAGTTCTTATCACCCTAACGAACCAACCTTATGTCAGTAAATTAAAGCTAGCCAAAAATCACTATACTTTAGCTAAAGAGGCATTATAATTATTCCAGTAAATTAAATAAAAAATTTATTGGCGAATGTACAAAAAAATAATGTCGGAGTTTTAATGTCGGCACACCCTAGCATTGATCTATATCGAAAAAATATACCCTTATTTTTTATTTTGAAATCAAAAAATTTTTAAGGAGTGCTCAAAGCGTTCAAAGTTTTCCATGCATTTTATATGGAGAAAAAAACAATTTTTCGTAGAAATGGTATAAAACTCTTGAAAATCAATATTTTTCGACCTGTGGTTCTCTTCAAAAGACTTCCAGTATTAATATCCCACTGTTTATTTAAACATTTTTTATGATTAAAGTTTTTTTATGGGTCCCCCCGGTACATTTGCTAAGGGCTTTGGAGGACCTATAAAAAATAGTTACCATGAAAAAATTGTCAATGAAACAATCGAGTATTATTACTGGGAATCTCCTGAAGATAAGTAAAGTTTTCTGATCGAAAAAAAAATTAATTTTCAAGAATTTTACACTATTTCTACGAAAAGATGTTTTTTCCATATAAAATACATGGAAAACTTTGAGCGCTTTGAGCACTACCTAAATTATTTTTTATTTAAAAAAAAAAAATATGGGTATATTTTTTTCGGTATATAACAATCCTAGGGGGTGGCGGCATTAAAAATCCGAACTTATTTATTTTACATACATTTTTGGACCACTTTAATGTACATAGGTATCACCGAAAAATATAAAATTTACATCTAAGTTCAGCTCAAGACGTTTTGGACCTTAGTTGCGATGGTTTTCTTAGAGTAATTTTTGATATAGAAAGAATCGTGAGACAAATACAAAGAAATTTCAAAACACACGAAACAATCAATGTAATCACGAAACTAGGAGCAAAATAAAAAATAAGTTAGGGTGTTTTTTATAGGACTTTGGATATTCAAAGCTATTATTAATTAAAGAACCAAAGGACGATTGAAAATTAAATTTTAATAAATTTAATTTTTTTGCTAATGAGGTTGTAAGGGCAAAGGTCAAGGATGTTGTCAAGAATACATTAGTCCTTAAAATTATAATTTTGTCAAAAATAGATATAACAAATTTTCAAAGATATTCAAGGATGAAATTTTAAAAGGACACATTTTAACCGAATTTTCTCTTTTGCTTAATACCCATACTGTTATTCTGAATTGCACTATATTTTTTAAATATTTTTTTTTTAATTAATCGCATCTTTGATATTACAAAGTTCTTCAAAGAAATCCTCACGGCAGAGAAGAAGACTGAAAATGAAATTTGACTACTTTTGGTCACTAGGTTCGCGAATATTTTGATTCTTGTTTATCGATATAAATTTTTTCAAAATTGCTATCGGTACTTTTGAATGTAGTTAGATATAAGTACTTAAAAGTCGATAACTCACGTATATCGAGTTTCGAAAATGTTGACCCAAGACTTGGTCTTACTTTATTGGTACACTGAGAGAAAAATCAACCAAAAATTGGTTAACAAATTCAAACTTGAAAAGGAATCAACGTGATTTTTGGTTAATATTAACAATGCCTTGGTTATTATTTTCAACAATGATTTGGTAATATTAATCACAATTTTGTTTACATTAACCAAACTTTTGGTTGGAGATTTTTCGTTTGAATCAGTTTATGTTCTTCACTACACAGATGATTTTTCATAATTCGGAGATACAAACCAAACATTTTTATTATCATCTTAACATGTAGCCTCTGTCGGGATCAGCAAATAACAGCAAACATCTCTACACACTCAGCTACAGCCGCTTTATAAATGTGTCTTCAATTGTTACACTTGAATCAATTTTCTTCGTCGTTTGATCAGGTTCTGCACTTCACAGAGGTGTTTTCGTAATTAAGAAAAACCAAAAATAGAAAAAAATAAAAATTATATATCGCGCTGACGGCGTACGTACCGCTGGAAGCCAACAAATAACAGCAAGCACCTATGCTCATTCAGCCACTGCCATACATACGAATTTGTTCTCAAATGTACAACTTGAATCACATTTCTTACAATCGGTTTATTGACTATGAAAAAATCAAACCATAACTTGGTTGGAAAAACCATTGCGCTTTTGGCTCAATGTACCTTATTTTTTTCCTCACGCAAATATGTATGTACGTATTTCCCTTTACGCAAAAGTTTGTTCAATTTTGTTAACTCTCTTTATTTTCTTTAAACACGCCTGAAAACTTAAAAAAGCACCATTTTTAATGACTAGTTAGCCGGCTAGCTAAAATGACTTAGTTACTTCGTAACTAATGCCCTTCATCCACTTCAATGCTTCTTCTGCTTGACATCCTTGCGTGCCAGCGCAGATTGCAGCCAACGCCATGCGACTCGTATTAGCACGAAGATCAGCAAGAGCACCGCGGAGAGCCCACCAACAACGATCGACAAAACATCTATGCTATGATACTGTATGAAATTCAAATCCTGTCCAGCACAATGCAAATGCTTGGCGCCTTTATTTCTCACCACATACTCCACCCAGTAGACGGCCAAATCCAGCGGTTCTATGGGCTGATCACGATAACGCGCTGACATATCGGCCACACGCTTGGCATAGCTGTCATCGGCCAACATGCGCTCAATGGCCGCCTTGAAGTTGTCCTTTGTCAGTGTGGTATAATCCACACGTATGCCGTAACCACCGGCTTGCGCGCGATTCATATTCAAAAACTGATCACCGAAGATCGGTATGCCAATAAAAGGTTTGCCGTGGTAAATCGATTCAGTGGTGCTGAGTAGGCCGCCATGTGTGATGAAGATGCGCACATTGGGATGAGCGAGTACATCGTCTTGTGGAAACCATTCGCTTATGTACACATTATCAGGTTTACCCTCGAGATTTGGATCTTCAAATTTCCACAACACACGCTGCTTTAGGCCACGGAATGTTTCGAGTATTGCTTGACGCTTCTCCAGCGGTAAATTTTTGCTGCGTAAATTGGAACCCATCGAGAAATAGATTACACCATGTTGTGAACCATTGATAAAACGTTCCAAATCAGCTGGCAGTGGTGAGCGTTTACGATTGATATGCATGCCACCAACTTCGATATGATTATGTACATAAGGCCGGGAGTAGCTGAGCGAGACGTGCTGGTTGACCAGCACCAAAGCGGCATTACGTCGCACATCGTACATATCACGTTTGTTGTTCGGAAAGAATTTCTTGTACAACGCTTCTTGTTGTGGTAAATAGTATACATCAAGTAGCAAACGCTCGAAGATATTGTAAGCCAAATTTCCAACTCTTTGCAGCAAGGTCATGTGATCGGTGAATGGCAGCATTGCGCTCGGTACATACGATGGCGGAGAAGGAGAACCAACCTTTGTGAGAGAAAATGGAATTAAGTTAAGAAAAATCTGGTTCGATGGCAACTGCATGCATGCTACTCACCATATCTGTGTTCCAGGGATGCGCGCCAAAGGTACCCAAACCTATTAGCGGTGCATTGAAGTGCTCGCTTAGACCAAATAGGGATTCAGAGAGAAAAATTTCGCAAATAACGGCATCGAATGTTTGATTACTCGCCAAAAGCTCCTGCACGCCAGGCTCTTGTAAAAATGCGCGCGATATATCTATGCCCATATCATGGAAACCCTTCACATTCTCAACGACACTTTTTTCTATGGCGCTCAAAAGATTAGATAAGGCACCTGTAGAGAAAAGAAGATTAAGGTTACTTATGTGGAAAATTGTCTTTTAAAATTTTATCCTTGCATATCCTTGACAATTTACCAAAAATATAATAGAAAAAAAAACATAAATTAAGTTTTAATGTTGTATGGGTGCCAGGCCACAGAGACATACCGGGAAACTGTGTTGCAGATGAACTAGCAAGGGAAGGCACCTTGCTGTCTGCAGAATAACTCTATCGAACAGGTTAATATAAGATGATCTGCGGAGCCTAGATCTCGTCTTCTCCAACGCTGGGAGCGACCACAGCTCCGACATGTTATTGGAGTTCTCACCCTCCATTTCTAAAGTAAGAGGTGAAACATATGGAGCCTCTAATATGGCATCACAACGGACACATGGTGGCCTAAGTGTGCCCTTTTCCATAGCGATGAGGGCAGCCGAGATAATCTAAACCTAACCTAAGTGTGTTTTCTTCGCAAAAACGGACTTTTTAATTAAATTTGCGATCGAAGTAAGCTAAGACAAAAATTTTTTGATGGACACATTGAACTTTGATGGACTTGATCGAGCCTAGGATATTGACCAAAAGATTTCAAATTTCACACAGATTCTTTAAGAGCATAGTGAACCACATTTTTGCTATTACCAATCTAAAAAAAAGCAGATTTCCGGCCCACCATTCAAATGAAAACTTGATTTTATGATATTTTTGTTTTTGTCGATGAAATTAAAATATTAAAAAAAAAACGCGTGCTTAAGAGCCAGAAATTATACCTGCTATAATATTCCTCAACATTCTGAAGCCTGTTTATATGTCAGCAATAATAAATTGCCCGAAGTTTTCAATATTTCTTGAAAATGCAAGTGCACATCTCTCCAAATAAATGTTTTTTTTTATGCGACAATAATTTTCGCACACACAGTTAAGTTGATAACGTTTTATATTAAAAGATTAAATTTCTTATCTTGAACGTAAACACTCTAGTTGATTAAATAACAATTGAATAATAATTATACACCCCGTGTCAAAATTATAAGCGCAACACATATTGAAATGTTGTAACGGTTAGTTTTTTTTGTTATGAAATTATAGTTATTTTTTAATAAAGCTAAAGTTTCAAGTTTTGTGCAATATTTAAAAAAATGCCACAAGACATTCGGAAAAATTGCAATCTTTAAACTTTGTTGCTTTTTCCATTTTTCCTAACACAATTTTTTTTCAGTAACACAATTTAACGATTTTTCATTCACTTTCGTGGAAAGATTTTGTTTTTGCAGTTTTGTAGCACTTTAAATATTATTTTAACCCTTCTGCATGTATGGTTTTGCAAAAAATAAGAGAGTTTTTTTATTTTATTTTGTTTCCTAGAAGGCGACATAGTTTTTCCATACACCCACAGTGTTTCTGGGTACCATTTGGACCCAAATTATTTTTTAGTATTTAAAGGCAACTTTGAACCGGTAAGCATACAGCACTTGCTGATAAAGTATCTGCATGTGATAAATAAAATATTAACCGAATTTATATTGAAATATAGCTTTTTTTATCGTCTCTTAAAACGATTGAAATTTTTACGAAAGTTTGTTACATTTTTATTAAATATTGCACAAAATTTGAAATTTGGTTTACACGGATTTTATTAAAGAATAAACTAAATTTTTATGAAATAATAACTAAAATAAAATAACAAAAAAAAACGGTTAAAACTTTTCTTATATGTGGTGTGCTTATAATTTTGGCATGGAGTGTACACTCTTAGTTTATTTTCAGCGGCTATATGTAATAAATAAGTACCTAGCGACAAACTTCTTAACAATGCAATAAGGGTGTGTCTGATGTAAAATATACTATTGCATTGTTGTTATCAATATGTCTATATAGTAGATAATTCATATTTGTGTAAAATCTAGTAAATAAGTATGTGTGTATGCATTATGGACTGCATGCGCTATGCATGTCGCCTATAGTGAAATCAAACTGTCAGTAAACGCTGTTTTCTGTGTTTATTTTTAGAAATAAAGTACGTAGCGTCAATATGTTTTACTACTTATATATGTACTTATATGAGCATGAAAATTAATATTTTTCGATTGGAAAACTGTGGTTCTCTTCAGGAAACTTCCTGTATTAATATCCAATTGTTTATTTAACCATTTTTTAATATAACAAATTTTTTATTGTCCCCCCCATTGCATTTTCTAGGGGTTTTTGGGGACCTATAAAGTATAGTTACCATGAAAAAATGTTTAAAGAAAAAATTTGATATTATTACTGGGAACTTTCTGAAGAGAAACACGGTTTGTCGATCGAAAATATTTATTTTCAAGAATTATAAAATTCTACAAAAAGTTGTTTTTTTCCCCACATGAAAAACATGAAAAATTTTGAAATCTTTGAGCACTCCATAAATAATTTTTTGATTTCAAAATAAAAAATAGGGGTATATTTTTTATTGGTTCAGAATAATCCTAGGCGGTGGCGGCATTAAAAATCCGACATTATTCTTTGTGAACCACTCTAATGGCAGGTTTTTGTTCATTTTTCTTTGTGTTATATAAATATTTACTTAGTTTATATATTTTCGACTAACTTATCGAAAAAACTAGAATTCGCAATGCTTACTTAAGTCGCTTTAACTTTTGTATTTGTGTTGCAAAATTAAATTCTTTAGTACGGGAAAGAAATAGTTGATTACGATTTTTCTTTTAATATCTGGAATTTCAAAAAAAAAAAAAACAATTTGAACGACATAGCAAACCACTTCAAAACTATATTAAGATTTGACTGAATTGTAAATTCTGGCAACTGTCTTGAAATCTATTTCCTGTCTTTCGAAAGACTAATTGAAAGATCTGCTAACAAGGAGGTCCTAGCGTTTTTGACTGTCTTTTTGTGATAAGTTTTCTAAGAATTAAGTCATCAAAAAATATATATCGTCGATTTTTCTACAAAACGGCCCATCGACCAGTTGCTAAACCTCCAAAAACGCCGTTGTAGCAAAAATCAGACTTGGTAATCCTGAACTCAGAGCATCGAGATTTATGCATAAAAATTGTAAAATCGTTATTAAAACAACAGATTTGTAAAATAACAGCTAGAGAAAAAACCCCCTCTCAAGGCAATGCCTTCAAAGAAACGCCGTTTTTTCGCTTTACTGTAAAGTTTGAGTGCCGTAAGATAGGAGCGGTTTTGCAAAAACAACGACGATATATTTTCCTTAAAAAAAAAACAAAAATTTGAATAAAAAAAGAAAAGAGGATATTCAACGTAATTAAAATAGGTTTTTTAAAGTCAAACGAAATTAAAAACACAATTTTTATTTAAACAATAAAAGCTAAAAACCTAAAGAAAGTTAAACAAAAAAGAAAAACATCTTAGGAAAGAAAAAAAAAAGGGCTATTACTGACATTTTCGCGAAATATCGAAGTTTCAAGCATTTCTGAAATTTACCGTTATATGAAAAAATCGGAGTTATTTTAGTCCGGTTTCAAGAATTTTCAACGTCTTGCTTTTGTGTGCCAAGAATAATAATTGTACCGAGTTTGGTACAAATCGATAGAACGGTTACCGAGATTTACATATGTGCTCATAAGGGGGGGTATTTTCCCTAAATTATCGTTATATGCGATGTGGCCGTGGTTATTTTCCGAATTTTTTTAATTTTCAGCAGTTTGGTATGTTTTACCAAGAGCAACAACTGTGCCAAGTTCGGGAGAAATTGGTGAAGCGGTTACCAAAATATATCTACAAATATAATCATAAAAATATTGATAAATATCATTTTTGATTGCATAAGCTTAAGTAGTTACTAAAATGTCGCAGTTTACGTATTTCTGAAAACCACTCTTATGTGGGAGGCAGGCGTCCAATTTTGCCGATTTTCAATACCATCCGTCCTACGCCCAAAACAAGCACATGTACGTTTTGTTGAGATATCTCAATTTCTGTTCGAGTTATCGTGTGCACAGACAGACGGACGGGCAGACGGTCCATTTATTTTTTAATTCTGATAAATTTTAGTGATCGTTTTGGCTGTTAGAAACCACCGCTATGTGAACAAAATTTGAATATCCTTTTGAACAAGAGCGCTCGGGTATACAAAATTCGAGCCCCCGAGGACTGGACCTAGGATCTCTCGAAAAAAGCTTCTGTGCCAAATTTCATGGTGAAAAGTTCTTTTTACAGGAAGCACTTGCCTATCATTTTGTTTGCGCTTTTTTTTTGGTAGTCGCAATAGGCGAGTGCGAAAACCACCGGCGTGCTATTCGACGGATCTGTGGTTCAAGTCCTCGGGAGGCGGAATTTTTTTCCTTTTTTAGTTTTTAATTTTTTAAATTAAATTTTCTTTTAATTTGTAGATTTTATTGCTTTAAAAAGAAAAATACATACATATACGTTTTTAAATTAAATTTAATTTTTATATACTTATTTTACTTTACTGTTTTATTTTAATTTTTATGTTTGATTAGAAAAAAATATTTTTTAAGCTTTATTTAATTCGTAGAAACTGATCTCATTATTTTTTCCTTTTTCTTATTTAGTTATATTTTCTTTTTTTAAATTCATTTTTTTATGTATAATTCTATTTTAATTTTCTGGATTATATCATTTTAAAAAGAAAAACTACTTTTTTTTAATTACAATTTAATTATTAATTTAGTTTATTTTTTATTATTATTTGCAATAATTTTGATTCATATTTTTTTCTTCTTTTTAATTTAAACTTTAATTATTTTTAGTGTAATTTTAATTT